AGGGAAAACAGCGGAGCGCGCGTTATTTCAGCAATGTGCCGCTTCTAATCCTGCCAAGAGATTATAGGAAGAAAGAAGAAAAAAAAAATACAAAAATAAAACCACCAAACAAGTAGCAACAAGCACGGAGCAGCCCCAGCATACAGTGTAAACAGAAGCTGCCCCGATCCGGAGTCCAGCTCTCCCGGAAAGCAACAGCACAACATGCTTTGTACACCCCAAAAGGTCCCTGCAGCGCTGAGCAGCGAAGGGGGAGGTTGTGGTTTTAAGCTCGAGTTGATAGTTTTTGCCTTTATGCAAAAGATTGAAGTGATCTCGGAGTCTCCAAGCGGCATTTGCAGCACCGAGCCTGGCCAGGCGGGGAAAGGGATGGGGGAAAAGTGCCATGGGAAGAGGGGGGATTGGGATACGGGGACCCCGAGACCAGCGAGAGTAGGTCCGGGTCTTTGCAGCTGGGAAATCTGGACGAGGGAAGGGAGAGCAAACAAATACAAAAAAATATAGATATAAAACCAATTTGTGTGGAGGAGGAGGAGGAGGAGATGGACAGTAAAGGGAGGGTTACTCTCGTCTTCCCCAAAGCAAGAATAATAATAAAAAAAAATCCCAGTTGAGGTGACAGTGAAGAGTCCGACAGAATTCCCTTCCCTGGGGGAAAATAAAAATACAAATGAGGTACCTTTTCCACCCCAAAGCCGTCATCCCTTCCCACAGTCACATCAATGCTCCAGCCACTGGTCATTGTCTCTCTGAAATAAAATAACAGGGGCCAGGGCAGGCCCGGAGCAGAAGCACCATGCGTGCGGCTGGGCCACGGCGCGCTCTTGGCACCGGGAGCCCTCGTCCAGTTCCTCCCAGTTGGGTTGTTCAGCAGAGATCCAGTCTCTCCTTGACCCTGCAAACAGGCGATATTGTTCAGTGCTCCACGGAGACGGAGCCTTTTCCAGGTCTCACGTGTTTCTCCAGCTTTTTTGTTTAAAAAAAAAAAAAAAAAATTATATATATATATATATATATAATATACAGTACAATGAAAATATCCATGGAAACAAATGGGGTGGCTGGCAAAGATGCTTAACAAAAAAGCCCAAAATAAAACAAATCCCCAACTCTTCCCCAAACTGACGCTTGCCTTCCCCGCTAGTCCTCCAAGACCACAATCTCCACGTTATGGACCTGGTGCTGATGGTCCTCCACATCTCCCACCACTTTATCCTCAGTCCTCAGCTCCGTCTCCAGGATCACAGCTTTGCCCTCCGACTCATCCGTGTCCGCTTCGGGATCTGGCGCCGGGTCGATCTCTATGATGGTCTGCCCGTCGTCCGAGGTGCCTTCCACGGCTTGGATGGTGGAAGTGAGGCCGGACTCCATGGCCACCAGTTCCACGGGGTTGACCACGGCCGCCACATTCGCCAGGGCACCGCTGTCCTGCATGGCTGCCGAGCTCAGCAGCGCCAGGCTGGAGGATGGGTGGAGGGTGACGGTGTCGGAGGAGCTGGTCTTGGAGGAGGACACCA